TTCCCCCCAATCCCCTTTGAACGGAAATGCGACGACTGTGCCATCGCTGTGCTTCGAAAAACGCAGCATGGCGATGGCATGGCTTTGGGATGGAACTTTGCCTGGGGACGAAGTTGCGTCCCCGCTTCCATATGCCGTCGAGCAGTTCGTTTTGGTTGACAAATGGGGGCATTCGCCAGACACCCACTTTGATCGTTGGTTTGGACGGTTGGGAGGCTCGGCACCTTTTTACGGGCTGCCCAGGCTGACGGAGGTAAACGAACCCTAACTGACGGGATCAGGAAGGCGAGACCCACCTTCCTGATCCCGTCGTTATCCCATGGTTTTTCGCTTCATTGGTGCTGGCGAACAGCCCGGCGATCTGCGGCACGGTGTCAATGCCGTGATGGCGGAATGCGATGCGACAGATGTTTATTTCCATGTGCAGATCTTCTTCGAATGGGCTTACCGTCAGCTAAAAAATGGTCAGAAACAAAATCACAATGGAGATTCGCCAGGTTAGCCAGAACGATAGCAGAGGCGAGAGCGAGAAGCATAAAAAGTCTTTCATCAAGCTGTTAAGAACTAAGGCAAGAATGATGAGATTAGGTCAAGGTTGGGGTACAAGGCTAGAGTGTTGAGAAAGTTTATGTACCCCCTAAGGCTAGCCCCAATATAGCCTAGATAATGATATGCATATGTTTTGAGACACCCCCATAGGCGAAATGGGGGATAGCCAGAGCAAGCAACGGTCACAAGACCAGTCAAGAGAAGAAACAAAACACAGCTCAGGGTGGATCACAACGTCACCACACACACTGAGCACAAGCCAATGGCCACAAGGCCAGTCCACATGCAGAGGTATATAGGCAACAAGAACAGCACAGTGATCTCTAGCTAGCAAGAGCAAGCATGCAGGTATATATATATAGATCACAGTACAAGCAGAGACTACAACAAGTGTGGAAACATAGGCACAAGGCCCAACAAAGTACAAAAGCGCTGATGGTCACCAGACGGAAGTGCCTTGGTGAATATATCAGCAGTGTTGGCCCGACTGGCCACGTGAGCAAGGCGAAGCTGACCCCGCTGCAGCAACTCTCGAGCCAGGAAGTAACGCAAAGCGATGTGCTTCGTTCTGTGCTCCAGTCTGTGCTCCTGACACAAGGCAATGGCGGCCTTGTTGTCTACGTACAAAACTGGAGGAGAACGAGGCCGCTCTCCCAGGTCGGTCAGCAGGTAGGTGAGCCAGCGTAACTCCTGTGCAGCCATGGCTGTGGCGTAGATCTCAGCCTCACAACTGGAGCTGAGAACAGAAGACGAGCGTGTAGACCGCCAAGAAACAGAGCCGGAGCCAAGGCTGAACGTGTAACCCTGTGACGACCGCTGTGTAGCCTGGTCGTCAACCCAAGAAGCGTCTGAGTGCCCGGTGAGGACAACTGGACTCCGCCCTCCAAGCACGAGCCCCATGCCCGATGTACTGCACAAGTAGCGCAGTCCACTCTTAGCAGCATCCATGTGCACCTTTCGGTGCCGACCAGGAGCCACGTAGCGAGCCAGTAGGCCAAGAGGGTACGCCAGGTCAGGACGAGTGCAGGTCATCAGGTACATGAGGCAGCCAACTAGCTCTGGGTAAGGACCACTCGGCTCTACGGACTCGTCCGAAGGTGGAGCTGAGAGCGAGTGACCTGTAGCCAGAGGAGTGTGCTGTGCTGAGGTCCAGGTGAAGCCGAAGCGCTGAAGGACCTGCTGCACCATGTGTGACTGAGTCAGTGTGATGGTGCGGCGTGCTCTGTCCCGGGTGATCTGCAAGCCAAGGTAGCTGCGCAGCTCACCCAGGTCTATGCACGTGTGTCTCTTCTGCAGCTCCGACTTCACCAGGGCTAGAGCCTCAGTGTCAGCAGTGGCAAAGACCAAGTCGTCAACGTACACGAGGATGTAGAACGGCGGCAGCGAAGTGTCGGTGCGCAGAAACAGCGACGGGTCAGCAATCGAAGGAGCAAACCCAAGAGCTGCAAGTGTCGTCCTCAGTGTGTCGTGCCACTCACGTGGCGCCTGGCGGAGACCGTAGACCGGCCGCCGGAGGCTCCACTGGGTACCAGGAGGGAACAACCCATTAAGCCGGGTGGGCGGCGCAGCCAGATCTCCTCGTGCAGGCTGCCCTGTAAGAAAGCTGTGCTGAAGTCAAGCGAGTGAAGCTCGTAGTCACGCTGAGCGGCAACGTGCAGCAGCACCCGAAGAGTGGTCATCTTCGGGGTGGGGGAGAAAGTCTGGAAGAAGTCAACTCCCTCTCGCTGACTGAAGCCTCGAGCAACGTAACGAGCCTTGAAGACAGGCGGAGAACCTGGCGGCCGCTTTACCCTGAAAATCCACATGCCACTGACGATGTTCGTCCCAGGAAGGGGAACCTCGTCGACGTACGTACCTGTGGACTTCCAGGATGCCATCTCTGCGTCCATGGCAGCCTGCCACTGAGAGGAGTACTCACCCGCGATCGCCTCAGCGTAAGAGCGCGGGGTCGGGATGTCTGGTGCATCCGGGTCTCCCTCAGGGGCAAGCAGCATGGCCACGAGATGAGGCGCAGCGGCGGCAAGATACTCAAGGTCCTCCTGCCTGTCCTCAAGGACGTCCGTGCCAAGAGCACACTCACCCCCGACGGACGAAGGACAGACAGACTCAGACTCAGCAACAAGACTAGCAGCGTAGTCTAGACGACAGCCAGCAGCAAAGTCAACCAGCTCAGCGACAAAGGCAGACGCAGCAGTAGACTCGAACGACGGGTCAGTGACAACAGTGGCTAGCAGACGCGTGACAGTAGGGTGCTCAGCACGAAACCGGTTAGACTCAGGGTCCGTAACGACAGGCAGAGAAGACGCAGGAGGAGACAGCAGAGGAACACCCTGCGGAGGAGAGGAAGGACGACGGACTACAAGGGAAGGGCCGGGGACAGCCGGCTGACGCTGACAAGGAACACGACGACTGGAACGACCAGAACGGACAGGTGAGACAGGACGCGACGCAGGCTCACGACGCTCAGCAAGGCCCCCTGTCTGCTCAGTGTAAGGAGAAGGAGCAGGCAGAGGTGAGCCAGGCTGTAACGGAAGACCAGTAGACGACGGGAGGCTAAGAACCTGGCGAAGTACGGAGTCAGGCGGTGGCAGAGACGACGGAGACGGCGGAGCAAAGAACAGGCGCGGGCTGTGCAGTGCCACCAGCACCAGCAGCTCCTGCACCCTCAGCAGCTCCAGCAGCTCCAGCACCCTCAACAGCTCCAGCACCTCCAGCAGGTCCAGTACCCTCAGCAGCTCCAGTACCTCCAGCAGGTCCAGCGTCCTCAGCAGCTCCAGCACCTCCAGCAGCTCCAGTACCCTCAGCAGCTCCAGTACCTCCAGCAGCTCCAGCACCCTCAGTAGCTCCAGCCCCTCCTGGTGCAGCACCCCCAGAACCGGCACCTCCAGGCCCAGGGTCTCCAACCGCAGTGCCACCAGCAGCAGTACCCTCAGACACACCACCGCCAGCCCCAGCAGCTCCAGTACCCCCAGTACGAGCACCTCCGGGACCAGCGACACCAGCACCTCCAGCAGGCAAAGGACCAGCACCACTCCCAGCTCCAGTGACGCCAGCAGAAGAACCCCCAGTAGTAGAGACCTGAGGTGCAGAAGTGCAAAAAAAAAAGGTGACGCGCGCTGCAGCGGAGGCGCGCGCGGGCAGTAGGCAAGGCAGGCAGGCAGTAGTTAGGGAAACACAGTTAGGTGGGCCCGATTCTTATGTCCTAGAGACCTCCTGCTCTAGTTACCATGTTAAGAACTAAGGCAAGAATGATGAGATTAGGTAAGGTTGGGGTACAAGGCTAGAGTGTCGAGAAAGTTTCTGTACCCCCTAAGGCTAGCCCCAATATAGCTTAGATAATGATATGCATATGTTTTGACACAAGCCACGCTCTGTCATTGTCAATCTCAGCGAGCCTTTGTGCAGAAGGCACACACCCGCCATTCCATCATAATCTCTTAGACATTCACATCATGCTCGCCTTTTCCCAATGGGTCGCGGCTGCCGCAGAGGCTGCAGCAGCGAATGTGATTTTTTCCGAGGAGCATAGGTTGTCTCTCACCATCGTTCACGGGCCGTACTTCAATTTCACCAAAAAACCGCTCCCAGAAATCATGAAAAGAGTGCGCTGCCTCGATGCATTCAAGAAACAGCTGGAGCAAATGGGCTTTCACGTTTTGATGAGGAAATCTGCAAGCGTGGGAGAGGTGGAAATCTCGTTCGGACCTTATCCGCTGTTCTTCCTGAGAAGCCCAGAGCAAATGGAGCAGCTTTCTGTCGCTATGGTGCAAGAGGAGTTTCAACAAGAAGGCACTGTCGAAGATTCGCGGTGGTGCAGATTAACAAAAACGGTGCTGGCTTTATACTGCGAGTGCTACTGCTGTAATCCACAGACTCCAGGACTAGAGGGTATCACTAACCTAAAATCTGCAGACTTGCATGAACGGCTTTGTACCTCAGAGCAGCCCTTGTTTTAGCTGAGTGGCTTAAGCAGAGTGTTGTGCTGGGCTGGTGCCACCAGTGGTTGTTATGGGTTGGTGGTATCCAAGCAGGCAAAAATGCACTTGCTGAACAATGCACTGGCTGGTCCACCTCCACCCTCTGAGCTTGTGTGTACAGATCATTATGCAGTGAAGTCCATGTGCGGTTTGCTGATTTACACTCCTCCTTTTGCTCCTCAGCCCCTTCAGCGCCATGATTCCTGCCTCCACTACACTTCACACAATCTTGTTTCTTTAGATCTTTGACTCAAACTTGTCCACTAGAGTTTCTGGCGGTCCGAATTTAAAACCATTAAGAGGAACACTGAAATCCGACTTGTATGCAACCGTAGCAGCCTCAAATGCGGTCTGCACAAGATAAAACAGGAATAATACTGGACGTTGGTTGCTTCTTGGGCCTTAATATGCAACTTCAATCAGACAATTCACACTTTTCATTCTCACCTTGTCATACAGCTTGAGAAGCCTGGCTTAAGCATTAATTGGGTGGGCCCAATGGGCATCATGGAAGGGATTCTTCTCCTCCTGTCCAAACTGCCGCATCACCTTTGCCACATCCTCCTCTAGATTCTCAAACCGCCCAATAAAATCATATCGGATCGCATTCAACTTGCACAGGTCAATCTGAGCATTGCAAACAGACGGGGGAGCATGGGGATTGAAGGGCTTGCAGCCAATCAGGGCACCAACAATGACCACACTGGGAAATGCTTGGATCAGAAATTCAAACTGCACTGGGAGAAAGATGCGATTTGTGGAGGGAAAAGAGGGGAAGGGAAAGTACCTGGGGGCGAACATGGGGGTCCATGCACTCGACGCAGCGTGTGGCTCGTTGCTGCAGGAACGACATGAAGGTGGAGAAGGGGATGAAGTCGCTGCCGTTCTGGCTCTTCATGAACGTGTTGTACGCTTGGATTCCCATAAAGAAGCGCTGCAGAGAGGGAGAGAGGCAGGGGAGGGGAATCGGGGGGTTGAGCGGAATGCAGAGCGGAGTTGACAGAAAAAGAGGGGAAGAGAAAGGAACTAGAGAGAAGGAAGAGAGGAGGAAGAGGTGGGGGGAAGGAGGTGGGGGTGGGGAGATGGATGAGAGCAAGCAATGGAAAGCAACAGCTTCCTTGCCTCACCACATTCCAGCAAATTACACACTGAACCACAGCAGCCACACCACGAGCTGTATCCAGCTTGTTTCATCTGCTCTCTCTGTCTTCATAGGCATGTTGCAAGCCTCGCAAGACAACCTCACAAGACAACCTCGCAAGACAACCTCGCAAGACAACCTCAAAAGTCAACCCTCACCACGTTCCAGAACTTGTGGTCCTGTGCGTACCCCCTTCCTTGTGTAGGGTTACCCCTTTCCTTGTGTGGGGTTAACCCCTTCCGTCCACGTGTTTTTTTAAAACACACTGGCGCAATCCACACGAATTAAGTGTTACCTAACCAACACATCAATCTCAGGGAGACCCCTCACCTCGTTCCAGTACTTGCGTCCGTGCAAGCCCACCCCATTCACATGCTTGTTCAGATACGCCGACGCAATCCGTGTAAACGGGTTGCGCACAAACAAGAACTTGAAAAAGTCGGGCCGCGTGAGAAACCGGATACTCTCGTGCTCTTCAAACCCGTACCCCATGATGCTCAGCCCGCTCTGCAGTGGGCTGTGCACCGACGTGCGCGCGAACCGCTGCACGCTGGGCGACTTGTTGCCGCCGAGTCACTTGGCCATCTGCTCCCGGAACCACACCTTCCAGCTCGTGCAGGCCACCTTTGGCACCGAGCAGTACACTGTCTTGAGGTGCTCTGGTGGAGCGGGGGGCAGGAAGAGGAGGGATAAGAGTGGTTGAGGGTTCGGGATAAGAGGTCACGGGCACAACGTGAGGCCCGATCCTGCTCGCGGAACCACACCTTCCAGCTCGTGCAGGCCGCCTTGAGCACCGAGATGTACACTGTCTTGAGCTCCTCTGGTGGTGGTGGGTGGGAGGAGGAAGAGGGGTGTAAAGAGTTGTTGAGGTTTCGAGTCAGAGGCTCACCTTCCAGCTCGTGCAAAGCACCTGGGTAGCAAAGCAGCCGCGCCAGTCTCAGCGCATAGCAGCGCCCAGGGGCAAAGGTGCCACCACCAGCAATCCACATGTCTGCAAATCCGCACGGAGGTCGTTCCGGCTATTTCAGGGGGAAATAGAGTGCAAGGCGGCTCACCATCCACGAGCATCTGCTGCAGGTACTTCTGGTTGACAAACCCAGCCGCACGGGGGGCAGCGCACAAACTCTCCTCCACCACAAACGCTGCTGCCGGGGGGAACTGCAGTCACAAGGGCTGCAGCTGCCTCTGCAGAGGCTCCTACATCTCCCCCCACACTGCTGCTCTGACTCGCCCGGTGCTGTATTTTACTGGCCCGGGCGGCAATGAAGAGCGCCTCTATGGAGGGGCGCTTGTGGATGAGCCCTCCAGCCCACGACCGCAGCAGCAGCTCCGCCAGTTAGTGGTGTGGGATGTGAGGGGATTGAGGGATGGGGTGCAGAGGAGAACAGGCGAGAGGAAACGGACTGAGAAGGTGGAGAGATGGTGAAGAGAAGGTGAGAGAAGGCGGATGGAGAAGGCCGAGATGGTGGTGGATGGTGGGATGCCAAGAGGACATGAGAGGAAGGCTGGAATGCATGAATACATGCAACCTCCACCTCCCATGCCTACCTGGCATCACCTGATTGGCTTCCAGATACACCGCCGTGCTACGAGCTAGTCTCTCCCCAAATCCCCCCTTTACCCCCCCTTCCCCCTCCTCCTTAATCTCCCCTTCAGACCTCCCAGCAGCTGGTCCCCTTCAGACCTCCCAGCACCTCTCAGAGGAGAGGGGCCTTCCTCTCACTCAGAGGAGAGGCGCCTTCCTCTCACTCAGAGGAGAGGCGCCTGCCTCTCACTCAGAGGAGAGGCGCCTTCCACTCACTCAGAGGAGAGGCGCCTTCCTCTCACTCAGAGGAGAGGCGCCTTCCTCTCACTCAGAGGAGAGGCGCCTTCCTCTCACTCAAGAGGAGAGGCGCCTTCCTCTCACTCAGAGGAGAGGCGCCTGCCTCTCACTCAGAGGAGAGGCGCCTTTCTCTCACTCAGAGGAGAGGCGCCTGCCTCTCACTCAGAGGAGAGGCGCCTTCCTCTCACTCAGAGGAGAGGAGCCTGCCTCTCACTCAGAGGAGAGGCGCCTTTCTCTCACTCAGAGGAGAGGCGCCTGCCTCTCACTCAGAGGAGGGGCGCCTCCCTCTCAATCAGAGGAGAGGCGCCTTCCTCTCACTCAGAGAAGAGGCGCCTGCCTCTCACTCAGAGGAGAGGCGCCTTCCTCTCACTCAGAGGAGAGGCGCCTGCCTCTCACTCAGAGGAGGGGCGCCTGCCTCTCACTCAGAGGAGAGGCGCCTGCCTCTCACTCAGAGGAGAGGCGCCTTCCTCTCACTCAGAGGAGAGGCGCCTTCCTCTCACTCAGAGGAGAGGCGCCTGCCTCTCACTCAGAGGAGAGGCGCCTTCCTCTCACTCAGAGGAGAGGCGCCTGCCTCTCACTCAGAGGAGAGGTGCCTTCCTCTAACTCAGAGGAGGAGAAGCGCCTGCCTCTCACTCAGAGGAGAGGCGCCTTCCTCTCACTCAGAGGAGAGGCGCCTTCCTCTCACTCAGAGGAGGGGCGCCTGCCTCTCACTCGGAGGAGAGGCGCCTGCCTCTCACTCAGAGGAGAGGCGCCTTCCTCTCACTCAGAGGAGAGGCGCCTGCCTCTCACTCAGAGGAGAGGCGCCTGCCTCTCACTCAGAGGAGAGGCGCCTTCCTCTCACTCAGAGGAGAGGCGCCTGCCTCTCACTCAGAGGAGAGGCGCATTCCTCTCACTCAGAGGAGAGGCGCCTTCCTCTCACTCAGAGGAGAGGCGCCATCCTCTCACTCAGAGGAGAGGCGCCTGCCTCTCACTCAGAGGAGGAGAGGCGCCTGCCTCTCACTCAGAGGAGAGGCGCCTTCTCTCACTCAGAGGAGAGGCGCCTTCCTCTCACTCAGAGGAGAGGCGCCTGCCTCTCACTCAGAGGAGAGGCGCCTGCCTCTCACTCAGAGGAGAGGCGCCTGCCTCTCACTCAGAGGAGAGGCGCCTGCCTCTCACTCAGAGGAGAGGCGCCTTCCTCTCACTCAGAGGAGAGGCGCCTTCCTCTCACTCAGAGGAGAGGCGCCTGCCTCTCACTCAGAGGAGAGGCGCCTTCCTCTCACTCAGAGGAGAGGCGCCTTCCTCTCACTCAGAGGAGAGACGCCTGCCTCTCACTCAGAGGAGGAGAGGCGCCTGCCTCTCACTCAGAGGAGAGGCGCCTTCCTCTCACTCAGAGGAGAGGCGCCTGCCTCTCACTCAGAGGAGAGGTGCCTTCCTCTAACTCAGAGGAGGAGAAGCGCCTGCCTCTCACTCAGAGGAGAGGCGCCTTCCTCTCACTCAGAGGAGAAGCGCCTTCCTCTCACTCAGAGGAGGGGCGCCTGCCTCTCACTCGGAGGAGAGGCGCCTGCCTCTCACTCAGAGGAGAGGCGCCTTCCTCTCACTCAGAGGAGAGGCGCCTTCCTCTCACTCAGAGGAGAGGCGCCTGCCTCTCACTCAGAGGAGAGGCGCCTTCCTCTCACTCAGAGGAGAGGCGCCTGCCTCTCACTCAGAGGAGAGGCGCATTCCTCTCACTCAGAGGAGAGGCGCCTTCCTCTCACTCAGAGGAGAGGCGCCATCCTCTCACTCAGAGGAGAGGCGCCTGCCTCTCACTCAGAGGAGGAGAGGCGCCTGCCTCTCACTCAGAGGAGAGGCGCCTTCCTCTCACTCAGAGGAGAGGCGCCTTCCTCTCACTCAGAGGAGAGGCGCCTGCCTCTCACTCAGAGGAGAGGCGCCTGCCTCTCACTCAGAGGAGAGGCGCCTGCCTCTCACTCAGAGGAGAGGCGCCTGCCTCTCACTCAGAGGAGAGGCGCCTTCCTCTCACTCAGAGGAGAGGCGCCTTCCTCTCACTCAGAGGAGAGGCGCCTGCCTCTCACTCAGAGGAGGAGAGGCGCCTGCCTCTCACTCAGAGGAGAGGCGCCTTCCTCTCACTCAGAGGAGAGGCGCCTGCCTCTCACTCAGAGGAGAGGTGCCTTCCTCTAACTCAGAGGAGAGGCGCCTTCCTCTCACTCAGAGGAGAGGCGCCTTCCTCTCACTCAGAGGAGAGGCGCCTGCCTCTCACTCAGAGGAGAGGTGCCTTCCTCTCACTCAAGAGGAGAGGCGCCTTCCTCTCAATCAGAGGAGAGGCGACTGCCTCTCACTCAGAGGAGAAGCGCCTTCCTCTCAGTCAGAGGAGAGGCGCCTGCCTCTCACTCAGAGGAGAGGCGACCTCCTCTCACTCAGAGGAGAGGCGCCTTCCTCTCACTCAGAGGAGAGGCGCCTTACTCTCACTCAGAGGAGAGGCGACTTCCTCTCACTCAGAGGAGAGGCGCCTTCCTCTCACTCAGAGGAGAGGCGCCATCCTCTCACTCAGAGGAGAGGCGCCTGCCTCTCACTCAGAGGAGGAGAGGCGCCTGCCTCTCACTCAGAGGAGAGGCGCCTTCCTCTCACTCAGAGGAGAGGCGCCTTCCTCTCACTCAGAGGAGAGGCGCCTGCCTCTCACTCAGAGGAGAGGCGCCTGCCTCTCACTCAGAGGAGAGGCGCCTGCCTCTCACTCAGAGGAGAGGCGCCTGCCTCTCACTCAGAGGAGAGGCGCCTTCCTCTCACTCAGAGGAGAGGCGCCTTCCTCTCACTCAGAGGAGAGGCGCCTGCCTCTCACTCAGAGGAGGAGAGGCGCCTGCCTCTCACTCAGAGGAGAGGCGCCTTCCTCTCACTCAGAGGAGAGGCGCCTGCCTCTCACTCAGAGGAGAGGTGCCTTCCTCTAACTCAGAGGAGAGGCGCCTTCCTCTCACTCAGAGGAGAGGCGCCTTCCTCTCACTCAGAGGAGAGGCGCCTGCCTCTCACTCAGAGGAGAGGTGCCTTCCTCTCACTCAAGAGGAGAGGCGCCTTCCTCTCAATCAGAGGAGAGGCGACTGCCTCTCACTCAGAGGAGAAGCGCCTTCCTCTCAGTCAGAGGAGAGGCGCCTGCCTCTCACTCAGAGGAGAGGCGACCTCCTCTCACTCAGAGGAGAGGCGCCTTCCTCTCACTCAGAGGAGAGGCGCCTTACTCTCACTCAGAGGAGAGGCGACTTCCTCTCACTCAGAGGAGAGGCGCCTTCCTCTCACTCAGAGGAGAGGCGCCTTCCTCTCACTCAGAGGAGAGGCGCCTTCCTCTCACTCAGAGGAGAGGCGCCTTCCTCTCACTCAGAGGAGAGGCGCCTGCCTCTCACTCAGAGGAGAGGCGCCTTTCTCTCACTCAGAGGAGAGGCGCCTTCCTCTCACTCAGAGGAGAGGCGCCTTCCTCTCACTCAGAGGAGAGGCGCCTTCCTCTCACTCAAGAGGAGAGGCGCCTGCCTCTCACTCAGAGGAGAGGCGACCTCCTCTCACTCAGAGGAGAGGCGCCTTCCTCTCACTCAGAGGAGAGGTGCCTTCCTCTAACTCAGAGGAGAGGCGCCTTCCTCTCACTCAGAGGAGAGGCGCCTGCCTCTCACTCAGAGGAGAAGCGCCTTCCTCTCACTCAGAGGAGAGGCGCCTTCCTCTCACTCAGAGGAGAGGCGCCTTCCTCTCACTCAGAGGAGAAGCACCTGCCTCTCACTCAGAGGAGAGGCGCCTTCCTCTCACTCAGAGGAGAGGCGCCTTCCTCTCACTCAGAGGAGAGGTGCCTTCCTCTAACTCAGAGGAGAGGCGCCTTCCTCTCACTCAGAGGAGAGGCGCCTGCCTCTCACTCAGAGGAGAAGCGCCTTCCTCTCACTCAGAGGAGAGGCGCCTTCCTCTCACTCAGAGGAGAGGAGCCTTCCTCTCACTCAGAGGAGAGGCGCCTTCCTCTCACTCAGAGGAGTGGCGCCTTCCTCTCACTCAGAGGAGAGACGCCTTCCTCTCACTCAGAGGAGAGGCGCCTTCCTCTCACTCAGAGGAGAGGCGCCTGCCTCTCACTCAGAGGAGAGGCGCCTGCCTCTCACTCAGAGGAGAGGCGCCTGCCTCTCACTCAGAGGAGAGGCGCCTTCCTCTCACTCAGAGGAGAGGCGCCTGCCTCTCAATCACAGGAGAGGCGCCTTCCTCTCACTTAGAGAAGAGGCGCCTTCCTCTCACTCAGAGGAGAGGCGCCTTCCTCTCACTCAGAGGAGAGGCGCCTGCCTCTCACTCAGAGGAGAGGCGCCTTCCTCTCACTCAGAGGAGAGGCGCCTGCCTCTCACTCAGAGGAAAGGCGCCTGCCTCTCACTCAGAGGAGAGGCGCCTTCCTCTCATTCAGAGGAGAGGCGCATGCCTCTCAGTCAGAGGAGAGGCGCCTTCCTATCACTCAGAGGAGAGGCGCCTTCCTCTCACTCACAGGAGAGGCGCCTTCCTCTCACTCAGAGGAGAGGCGCCTTCCTCTCACTCAGAGGAGAGGCGCCTGCCTCTCACTCACAGGAGAGGCGCCTTCCTCTCACGCAGAGGAGAGGCGCCTTCCTCTCACTCAGAGGAGAGGCGCCTTCCTCTCACTCAGAGGAGAGGCGCCTGCCTCTCACTCAGAGGAGAGGCGCATGCCTCTCAGTCAGAGGAGAGGCGCCTTCCTCTCACTCAGAGGAGAGGCGCCTTCCTCTCACTCAGAGGAGAGGCGCCTTCCTCTCACTCAGAGGAAGGGCGCCTTCCTCTCACTCAGAGGAGAGGCGCCTTCCTCTCACTCAGAGGAGACGCGCCTGCCTCTCACTCAGAGGAGAGGTGCCTTCCTCTAACTCAGAGGTGAGGCGCCTTCCTCTCAATCAGAGGAGAGGCGCCTGCCTCTCACTCAGAGGAGAAGCGCCTTCCTCTCACTCAGAGGAGAGGCGCTTTCCTCTCACTCAGAGGAGAGGCGCCTTCCTCTCACTCAGAGGAGAGCCGCCTGCCTCTCACTCAGGAGAGAGGCGCCTGCCTCTCACTCCGAGGAGAGGCGCCTGCCTCTCACTCAGAGGAGAGGCGCCTGCCTCTCACTCAGAGGAGAGGCGCCTTCCTCTCACTCAGAGGAGAGGCGCCTTCCTCTCACTCAGAGGAGAGGCGCCTGCCTCTCACTCAGAGGAGAGGCGCCTTCCTCTCACTCAGAGGAGAGGCGCCTTCCTCTCACTCAGAGGAGAGGCGCCTGCCTCTCACTCAGAGGAGGAGAGGCGCCTGCCTCTCACTCAGAGGAGAGGCGCCTTCCTCTCACTCAGAGGAGAGGCGCCTGCCTCTCACTCAGAGGAGAGGTGCCTTCCTCTAACTCAGAGGAGAGGCGCCTTCCTCTCACTCAGAGGAGAGGCTCTTAGAACTTAGGCTTAGAAGCGATGCATTAGTAATGAGCTTGAAGCTCTTTAAATACATCCAAGAAGGGGAGGGAATGGATGGGGAAGGGAATCGGGGGCAATCCTAGGGATTAGGGGTAATCCCAAGGCAATCTCCAATTGGTGGGTTGGAGATTGCTTGGAGATTACATTTGGGTTTGGTTGGGATGTAGGTGTACACCCAACCAAACACAATGTGCAAACTACACTACTCTAGGATATAGAAAATACAAAGTACAAAGTGTGAGATTGAAGGCTAACACTAACACCCCCCCATAGGCGTCAATCGAACTCATGGTAGAGAGGGTGGTGCACAGAGCCCCATGGCGCCTAGGAGACGGTGGTGGGGAACTTTCCCAAGGGGCTTGGTGAACAGATCAGCCAGGTTGCAGTCAGATGCAACGTATTCCACTTTCAGCTGCTCTTGTTGGACAAGGTCACGAATGAAGAAGTGCCGAAGTTCAATATGCTTGGTGCGGGTGTGATACACAGGGTCTTGAGAGATGTGGATGGTACTCTGGTTGTCACATCAGAGGGTGGGGGCGGACTGTGGGAAACCAAGCTCCTGGAGTAGGAAGGTGAGCCAATGGGCCTCCTGAGCAGCCATGGTGCCTGCGTAGAGCTCTGCCTCACAGGAGGAGAGGGAGACTGCAGACGACCTGGTGGAGCGCCAACTGACAATTCCGCTCCCAAGGGTGAAGCAGTACCCCTGAGAGGAGCGTCGGTCGGTCTGGTCATCAGCCCTGGAGGAGTCGGTGTAACCTTCCAGGCGAGGAGGGGAGAGCCCACCGAGTGTGAGAACGTGAGACTTGGTGCCCTGAAGATAGCGCAGCACCCGCTTCGCCGCCTTCCAGTGAAGATCAGTGAAGCGTCCAGGGGCCACGTAGCGAGAGGAGGACACTGACAGGATAGGCCAAGTCCGGTCGGGTGCACATCATGGCGTACATGAGGGACCCAACAAGCTCCGAGTATGGCTCAGAGCAGGCCTCTGGTGTGGGTACAGCTGGAGCAGTGAGGAGGTGTTGCAGCGGCAGCGGGGTGGCAACAGGTGTGCACAGCTCCATCTCAAACCGCTTGATACATTGTCGATGTAGAACTCCTGGGAGAGTGAAATGGTGCGAGCCTGGCGATCACGAGTGATCTCCATCCCCAGGTAGTGCTTGAGGTCACCGAGGTCTTTCATCTGGAGAGCCCTTGGCAACGAGGGCTGCCTGGACAGAGGTCATCTGGGCCGAGTCCTTGGCAACGAGGATGAAATCATCCACGTAGACCAGGATGTAGAATGGCTCAGAATGATGGCGGATGAAGAGAGTCGGGTCAGCAGTTGAAGGGTGGAAGTCCAGGGAGAGGAGGACTTCTTTCACCTTGTTGTGCCATTCGCGAGGGGCTTGCTTAAGGCCGTAGACGGGGCGATTCAGCTTCCAGACAGTGTTGGGAGGGAATTCTCCTAGGAAGCCTTCTGGTCTGTCCATGAACACTCTCTCCTTGAGACGTCCTTGTAGGAAGGCGGATGAGGTATCCATGGATTTGATCTCAAAGTCTTCTCGAGCTGCGACATCCATGAGCGTACGAATGGTGGGAGGTTTGGATGTGGGGGAGAAGGTTAGGAAGAAGTCGCGGTACTGCTGCTGGGTGAAGCCCTTGGCTACGTAACGCGCTTTGAACACCGGGGCCTCGTCTGGGAGCTGTTTTACACGGAACAACCACTTGCCCCCGACGACGTTGACTCCTGGAGGTGGAGTCTCGTTGTCGAAGGAGTGGTTGCGGGTGAATGCTGCAATCTCCGCTTCCATGGCAGCACGCCATTCGGCAGCATGAGGGCCTGAGAGAGCCTCTTGGACGGTGAGAGGGATAGGGATGGTCGGGTTCTCCGCGAAGTTGAGGGAGGGTGAGTCAGTGATGTCGGGGAAAAAGGGCGAGAGCTGAGGAATGACTGCATGAAGATCACACAGCTCCTCATGCCTGTCTTCCAGAAGGGTAGAGGGCACATCCCCCCCAGCAGGAGGAGGCGGTGTGATCGCCGTGTATCGAAGAACCAGCGCTAGTGGAAGAGCCGCGCCATGCGAACGAGTGCCATGAGCCACCGGAGAAGAGGGTGGGGCAGGCGGTGTCGGAGGGGTTGACTTAGGAGGCTTGGGCGGGGGAATGGGCCGCCGGTGGTACGTGATCAGCTCGAGCGACTGTGGGAGAGTGGGTTCCTCTGTGGTGGGGGGAACCGGGGGAGGAGGTGGGGCCGGAGGGTGGGACCGCCGATAGTAGGTGATAGGTGCGCTCGGAGGTGGCTGCACAGTCGGCGGAGTGGGAAGTGAGGGGGATGGAGGACCAGCTGCCTAAGACACCGGTGAGGGCGGGTCAGAGACCGCAGAGGGGGACGGTGCGGTGGCAGGAGGGGTAGGGGGTGAAGGGGCCGGAGCAGGCGAGAGGTCAGGAGGCGCATCAAAGTCTGCCCACACGAGGGAGGGTGGGTCAGGGAGAGGGTCCCGTCCCGAAGTGGAGTAGAATGGGCGGGTCTCATCAAAGACAACGTCGCGGCTCCGGACCAACTGCTGAGTGGAGGGATTGAGGAAGAGGTAGTCAGGCGAGTCGGCGTTGTGTCCGAGGTAGATGCATGTCTGGGTCTTGGGACCGAGCTTGCCGCCGTGCTGCCGTCGAGCCTGAGGGTTGAGGAGGACATAGGCGGTGCACCCCCAAACGCGAAGAGAGCGAGCAGTGGGCGTTTTCCCGAGCCAGAGTGTGGTTGGAGTGGTGTCGGGAAGATGCGGGTGGGGGTAAAGGTTGTAGAGGAGGGCGGCGTGGTAGAGAGCGTATCCCCAGAGAGAGTGTGGAGCGTTGGAGTGGCTGAGGAGGCACCGAGTGATCTGCATCAGGGTGTGGTTGCGGCTCTCAGCTATGCCGTTCTGCTGCGGGCTGTCAGGGAGGGTGAAGTTTCGCTGGATGCCTTCTGAAGAGCAGAAGGCTTTGAGCTTGTCGTTGCAAAACTCACCACCACCATCTGAGTGGAGGCGCTTGACTTTGCGGTCAAAGGCGGTCTGTGCCTGTTTAACCCACGCCATGAGGACCTCTGGAACCGCAGCCTTGGTGTGGAGGAGGTGAACAGAGACGTAGCGAGAGTGGTCATCGACGATAACAAGGAAGTAGCGATAACCACCTCGTGCGGGAACAGGGGCAGGGCCCCAGACGTCCAGGTGTACCAGGTCCAGTGGTCCTGCTGCAACAGAGGGTGAGGCCGGGTGGGGCTGTTGACGCAGTTTGCTCTTGGTGCAGTCAAGGCACGTGGGAGCGGGGGAGTCTGGTGGTGGAGGAAGTGAGGCTGGCAGGCCGAGTAGAAGTTTCTTGGAGGCCATGTCAGCAAGTGTGCGGAAGTTTGGGTGCCCGAGCCGATGGTGGTAGAGTATGGTCGGGTTGGAGAAACTGCGGCACGAGCATGGTGAGGTAGTCGCCACTGTTTGGGTGGTTGACACCTGTGGGATGGGTACTTGCAGCGTGTAAAGGCCGCTGCTGTTGAGGGTGAAACGAGTCAAGACCTTGTTGGTGAGTGGGTCGAGGATATCACCATAGTTCTCGTTCTCCCAGAAGATGGTGCGTAGTCCAGCTTCCTGAATTTCCGTTTGGGCCACGAGATTGTGGCGGAGTGAAGGCACGCACATTCCAGTGACAGTGCCGGAAGGGAAGGCGGGGCACGGGACTGTGGATGAACCCTTGGCATGAGTGGTGAAGCTTGAGTCAGCTCCTAGGAGAGGGATGGGTGTTGCGTAGGGTTTGAAGGAGAGTGTCTCCTTGAGTACAGTGTGTGTGGCGCCGCTGTCGAGTGTGAACTCTATGTATTGTGGTGCTTGTGATGAGCCGAGGTACTGGGAGGAAGCTTCATTAATCATGGCAGTGCCAGGGAACAACAGGTTGATACGGGCATCAGCAGGAGCACTATCACTAGCACTAGCCGAAGCGGGGTCCTGGACCTCAACCAGGTTGGCCTTACGCGCACGCATCCAGTTCGGTGGCCTCTTGTCTATGCCGTGGATGGCGTACCATTCGTCGTCCTTCTTCTTGAAGCACGTAGCGAGGGGGTGGTTAGTGCCACCACACACTTGTTCCTTGCGGTTGCCATACTTGACGACGTAGGTGCACGGTGGGAAGCGGTTGCGCTGGAGGGGCGCCGAGGCAAGGGCCGATGCGACACTGGCTTGAGGCATGGGAGCACGGATGGCGTAAGCCTTGGCCTGAGCCGTGGAGTCTTTCTCGGCAGAGAGGAGTGCGGTGGAGACCTTGGCAAAAGTGAGGTCTTCCGCAGTCAGCGTGAGGAGCATCTTCCTTGTGATTTCATAGGTTGTGGTGAGACCAACGAGAAGAGCTGCTGCAGGGGCCTGTTCGGGGAAGACTATACCCAGCTTCTTGAGTTCGCCATGAATGGTCTGAACCTTGGCAATGTAGTCGGCCATTCCCGAGCAATCCTCAAGGCAGACCTGGAACATGCTGGGGATGAGGATGGCAACTCCGACTGCAGTCTTGTTCATGAACCGATCCTGGAGATACTTCCAGGTGGCGTTGGAGGTAGGGTAGTTATGGAACGTGTTGACAAGTTCTGGAGGGGTGGAGGCGATGAAGACGATGATAATTGCAGCATCGGCCTTCTCCCACTTCCGGTACTTCTCAACGGCTTCCTCATATACCTTTGTGTCAGCCTCACTAGCAGATTCGGTCGGCTCGCGAGGGAGAAGGGGCTGTTTTCCCTTGCCACGGTTGAGGAGGACATCCTTGAGGTCCAATCCCTGCACGTCACGGCTCAGCAGGTGCTTGTCAACCCCATAGCTCCATGCCTTGAAGTTGGAGCTAGAGCCATCGGCGTCAAGACGGAGTGGGGTGATGGGGTTGGCCATGGTGGACGAGGCGAATGCCATGATGGAGACCCCTTAGGGTGTCGCGCGGAGCGCCGCTCTTGAGTCAACGATAGGAACTTGAGGTTTGGGGTTTCCGAAGGAGATTTTGAAGAACCGGAGGTTTAGGGTTTACGAAAGAGAATTTTGAGGTTTAGGGTTTCTGAAGGAGAATTCGACTGAAACGCCAATTTAGTGTCAACTACCTACTAATCCTATTCCCACACACCCCCCCACACACCACCCTCAGCTTCTCGGCTGCGCTGCTGCTCGGCTTCGCGGTTACACGGCTGCTCGGCTTCGCGGCTACGCTGCTGCTCGGCTGCGCTGCTGCACCTGTTCAGCTGCGGGAAAGGGAGGGGGATGGGGGTAGGAGTGCAGATGCGGAGCGACGGGCGGCAGCCCGAAGGTGAAGCTGCAGGGCGACGGGCGGCGGCCCGACGAGAAGCTGCAGGGCGACGCGCGGCGGCCCGACGAGAAGCTGCAGGGCGACGGGCGACAGCCCGACGAGGAGAAGGAATGACGCGATGATGTTCGACGAAAACGAGCGATAGGTTAAAACGCCGACGATGCGCTTACCAGTGAGATAGTAGATGCCGTCGAGAGTGACGGGAAAGTGGTGCGGAAGAATTTCCGCCCACGAATGTCGCGAATCAACGGCGACGAGATTGAAGGCGGTTACGTCGAGGTTTGCGGGACGAACATCCGCAGAGATAAGAGGATCACGATCCGCGTGTGCGGTTTGAAAGGCTCTGATACCATCTTAGAACTTAGGCTTAGAAGCGATGCATTAGTAATGAGCTTGAAGCTCTTTAAATACATCCAAGAAGGGGAGGGAATGGATGGGGAAGGGAATCGGGGGCAATCCTAGGGACTAGGGGTAATCCCAAGGCAATCTCCAATTGGTGGGTTGGAGATTGCTTGGAGATTACATTTGGGTTTGGTTGGGATGTAGGTGTACACCCAACCAAACACAATGTGCAAACTACACTACTCTAGGATATAGAAAATACAAAGTACAAAGTGTGAGATTGAAGGCTAACACTAACAGAGGCGTCTTCCTCTCACTCAGAGGAGAGGCGCCTGCCTCTCACTCAGAGGAGAGGTGCCTTCCTCTCACTCAAGAGGAGAGGCGCCTTCCTCTCAATCAGAGGAGAGGCGACTGCCTCTCACTCAGAGGAGAAGCGCCTTCCTCTCAGTCAGAGGAGAGGCGCCTTCCTCTCACTCAGAGGAGAGGCGACCTCCTCTCACTCAGAGGAGAGGCGCCTTCCTCTCACTCAGAGGAGAGGCGCCTTCCTCTCACTCAGAGGAGAGGCGCCTTCCTCTCACTCAGAGGAGAGGCGCCTTCCTCACACTCAGAGGAGAGGCGCCTTCCTCTCACTCAGAGGAGAGGCGCCTTCCTCTCACTCAGAGGAGAGGCGCCTTCCTCTCACTCAGAGGAGAGGCGCCTGCCTCTCACTCAGAGGAGAGGCGCCTTCCTCTCACTCAGAGGAGAGGCGCCTTCCTCTCACTCAGAGGAGAGGTGCCTTCCTCTCACTCAAGAGGAGAGGCGCCTGCCTCTCACTCAGAGGAGAGGCGACCTCCTCTCACTCAGAGGAGAGGCGCCTTCCTCTCACTCAGAGGAGAGGTGCCTTCCTCTAACTCAGAGGAGAGGCGCCTTCCTCTCACTCAGAGGAGAGGCGCCTGCCTCTCACTCAGAGGAGAAGCGCCTGCCTCTCACTCAGAAGAGAGGCGCCTTCCTCACACTCAGAGGAGAGGCGCCTTCCTCTCACTCAGAGGAGAAGCGTCTGCCTCTCACTCAGAGGAGAGGCGCCTGCCTCTCGCTCAGAGGAGAGGCGCCTTCCTCTCACTCAGAGGAGAGGTGCCTTCCTCTAACTCAGAGGAGAGGCGCCTTCCTCTCACTCAGAGGAGAGGCGCCTGCCTCTCACTCAGAGGAGAAGCGCCTTCCTCTCACTCAGAGGAGAGGCGTCTTCCTCTCACTCAGAGGAGAGGCGCCTTCCTCTCACTCAGAGGAGAGGCGCCTGTCGTGATGCAAGTCCCGCTGAGATTGCTCCATCAAGTCTAAACCCCCTCGCAAGGGCTCCGTCAGATTGCTCCTGCTTCTCCCTACTGCTAGCTTCATTTGGCTTAGGAAAACAAGATTGCAGTAAAAAGAGAAACATACAAGCAAAAAGCGAGAGACCTGAGTGCTCCCCCCGACTACATTCCCTCCTCCTCCTGCCTAGGTTCCTCCTGCAGCACGCTAACTCTAGTGCCAGACGCGAGTCAGCTGCACTGCTCGTGATGGCTCCTAGGTGCTAGCTAGCTCCCACTGGGCCCACTAGGCATGCACTGCAATCCAGCTGGAATCGAGTTCCTATCCTGGAATCGCATTCCCAGCTGGAATTGCATTCCCAACCTGGAATCGAATTCCCAGCTGGAATCGAATTCCCTCTTCTGTACCAACCTCCTCGAATTTCCCTGCACTCGGCTCTGTAAAGCGTATGTACAGTACATACCACGCACACAAAAGAAATTAGAGTACAAGTCCAGAAATGCACAATTACCTGGCTGCTGTGTAATTCACGCCTTAGCCTGCTGGCTAGGCGTTAATAACGCGACAGCTGTCGTGATGCAAGTCCCGCTGAGCCTCCCTTCTCATTGAAGCCTTCCCTCCCTTTACTCTCCTCCACCCTTCTCACTTTTCTGTCCCCTTTCTTCCAGCAGGTGACCCTCCCTAACCCTTGTTCCTCCTGGCGTATGTGATGAGCTTACTCTCCTTCCCTCCGCGTGTATCAGGCGACCCTGCCCCCTCCCGTGCCTGAGCAGCAGCTCCCGCAGCTCTGGTCACGGGATCTTTAGCCTGAATCTGCACTCCCTTCGCCCGAGCCACATTCGTCACATGCTCCTTGACTTTCTTTCCTCGCTGATCCTCCAACACTAGGACTCCCGACTCCCGCACTTCCTTCACCTTCCACCGTTCAGGACCCACGGCTAGGTCCAGCGTGTCCCTCTTCGCCTTCCTCAGGTATACCTCCTGTCCTGCCGCTATAGCCTCTCTCTGCTTTCCTTTACCCTCCTCCTTGCGTTGCTGATATCGGCGTGCATCCCTCAGCTGCGCGACATGTAAATTGTCCAAGGCTGCTGGTGTCAGCTCCCTCAGGTACCGTGCCCTCTTCTGTGCTACTTCGGCCCATAAACCAGGCTCGTCTGCCTCCACGGCAACCGACAACAGCTTTGGTGCATCCACGGGTAAGACTGGGTCCCGACCGTACAGCAGATGGTAGGGTGACAGATTCTTCAGAGCAGATTGCTTAGCAAACCTGTATCCCGCCAGAATCCAGGGAAGCTCCTTGTCCCAAGTCCTCTTGTTGTTCTCCCCGTATGCCCTCAGTCCATTCTTCAAGGTCTGTATCATTCGTTCGGTCAATCCATCCGACTGTGGGTGGTACCTTGAAGTCACACGATGAGTAATCCGGTTCTCTTTCAGCATCTCCTCGAAGCTGCCTTGGAATTCGGTCCCCTGGTCAGTCAATACCTCCCCGCACGCTCCGTATCTAGTGAGCACCTCTTGCACGAAAGCCTCAGCGATCAAGCTGCTGTTTTTGCTAGACAAGGCCCTGGCCTCCACCCACTTGCTGGTATGCTCTATCATTACCAGGATATACTGCTTTCCTTTGGTCGACAGCGGCAGCTCTCCTGCCAAATCCAGCGACCATCGGTACCCCAAGCCTCGAATCGGTAGGGATTGCAGCTCGTCTCTTTCTCTCTCCAAAGCCGCCTTGTTTCGCTGACAAGCTTCGCAGGCTGCTACCATTGCAGCCACGTCCTTCCTCATGCTTGCCCACCAGTACATAGTGCTCAGCAGCTGTCGAGTCCTGGCTATCTCGTAATGCCCCAACTTCCCATGGACCTTTAGCATGATCCTCTCCCTGTCTTGCGGCTGTGGCACGACGCGCCATCCTTCGCTAGTGCGCAGCTGTAACTGATCCTGAAGCCATCGGTAATGCTGCCCCCTGGCCCTGGCCCGTTCGCTTACCCCTGAGTCCTCTAACGGCTCTCCTTTTATCCACCCCATGGTCTCCTGATCTTCCCACACATCCACCTGCCGCTGCTCTCCCTTCTCTTGCCCCCAGGTCACCTCTGCCCCTGTGCTAATGCTATCAGCTGTGCAACTGGCTGCATCGGAGGCGGGTTTCTGGATAACCCATCCGCGTGTTGCAGTGTCTTACCCGGTCGGTGACGGATATCGAAATCGAATCCCAACAGTTTGATTGCCCACCTGGCGTTCCTGCCCGTCAGTTCTTGGTTTTTCATCAACCATAGCAAGGGCTGGTGGTCGGTCACTAGCGTGAAGTGCCGGCCTTGCAGGTACACTTTGAAGTGGGTGATACCCCACACAGCGGTCAATCCCTCCCCTTCGTACGAGCTGTAGTTAGCTTCCGTAGGGCTACAGCTGCGACTGGCGAATGCTATGACTCTCTCTTCCCCGTCTATGTCCTGGCAAAGCACTGCCTCCATCCCCATACTGCTCCAGTCGGTGTAGAGAACAAATGGCGCATCTGCCCGAGGTATCTGCAGCAGGGTACCCGTCTTCACTGCTTCCAGCAAATCTTGCCTGGCTGCTTCCTCCGTATCTCCCCACTGCCAACTCTTCCCCTCTCTGAGCAGCTGGTTCAAGGCGTGCGCTCGGCGACTGAAATTCGGCACGAACTTCCTGTAATAGTTCAGGAAGCCAAGAAGTGCCCTTAGCCCAGATTTGTCCTTCGGTGCAGCCAAATCGTCCAGCACCTTGACTTTAGCTTCCTGTATCGCCAACCGGCCCCCCCTCACCTCAAACCCCAGGTACGCCACTGTACGGCGGGCTATCTTGCACTTGTCCGGGTGGCATGTTAGTCCTGCAGCTGCTATCGCCTCCAGAGTCTGCTTCAAGTCCTGTACATGCTGTTCGTCGCTCCCGCTGAAGATGAGCACATCATCGATGTAACAGGCTGCTGCTGGGATTCCCTTCAGCACCTGATCCATAGCCCGTTGAAACACCGCTGGCGCATTGCATATCCCGAATGGCATCACATTGTATTCATACAGCCCATCCACTCCGTGAAAGGCTGTTTTTCGCTTGTCCCCTTCCTTGATAGCGATTTGGTTAAATCCTTGTCGTAAGTCCAGGGTAGAGAAGATCGTTGCTCCATCTAGTTTATCGAAGATATCATCCGCAGTCGGCATAGGATATCGGTCTGGGCTGGTGATCTTGTTTAGGTCCCTAAAGTCCCCACACATCCGCTTCGCTACCACCTTCCCCGTGATGTCTTTTCTGACAGCTACTACCGTGGCTGCTGCATAACTCGACTCTGACGGGCGTATTATCCCTGCTGCCAGCAGCTCCGCGCATTTCTCCTTGCAGATCGCCGCATCTTCCGCATTCATCCGCCTCCTGCGCTGATAAGTGGGCAGCTCCGTGGTTAAGTTTAACTCCAACTCTCTCCCTTTGTATCTTCCCAGCTCCTGTAAGTTGTATGCAAAAGTACCTCTGTGCTGCTGCAGTACCTGTCTGATTGCTTCTGCCACCTCCTTTTTTATGTCAGCTCCCATCTCCCATTCCTTGCCTGCTCCCATGTCTTTGACCCCTGCCTGCGTATTTGTAGTGCTCCCCTTGGCGGTTATCTTCTCGACTGCTGCGTATGCTGCTTGCTTATAGCACTGACCCCCTTGCCTTTCCTGCTTCCCTCCCTGCTGCCCTGGACCCTTCCGCATCTCAGTTACCAACCATCTCAGAGAATGTTGATCAATCGCCCTGCCCAAAGCTGCTCGACGAGTCTCTTCCCCCACTCCCTCTGCTGCAGTGGCTCCTGGAAAGTACCCCATAGCTAGCTCGCGTTCCAAGGCGGTTGGCTCTTCCCACTTCCCTTTACGGTGATCATACACCATCCCTGGGCCGGGGTTCCCGTCCTGCTCAATAAAGCCTCGTGCTTTCGCGTAAGCCACTAACGTCGGCCAGGCTCTTCGCGCTTCCCCTACTCGGTTGCACTGGTACTGCAGGGGGTGATCTGGTTTGACCACTGGCGCAGCTACCCTCCCTGGTTCGAGGATGTCCTCCACAATCCTAGTCCCATCTCTTTCTACTTTTGCCAACCGAGCCCGAAGCTCCCCTTCAGGTAGGACATTTTGCCAGAAGCGCCGCACCCGATGCGTTAGTGCCCCCAGCTGCGCCCCGTCACATCTAACTCCCTTTCCCAATTCTGCTTCCACCAGCTCCCGCACTTCTCGGACCGGCTCCCTAGCGTCACCATTCATATCCACGTGCTCTAGAATGTAAGCGTACTCTCCTCCTACCTCCTTCATCCACCTCATGATTTCCAGTAGCGTGGTCACTAACCCTGTGCGCTCATCTTGCAATCCCTTCCCCTTCCCTGCCCTCGAGGTACCCTGGCACTCCCAGCCGGCCACTAGCAGGTCCACTTTTCCCCAATTCTTTACGTCTTCTTTGGTAATCTGCTTCACATCCCAGTTCTTGTTCTGCATGGCCTCCTTCACCACATCTTTCCTCAGCTGGGCGGGGTACCGCTGCTGCAGTACCTGTGCGTGTTTCCAGGCCATCCTCCGGACTTCAGGATCCACCTCCACATAGATCCACTTCTTCACCCTCAGACCGGCCTCTAGTGCTGCTGCTAAACCGGCTCCCAGCCCCCCGAACAGCTCCACCAGTGTGACACTGTACTGGTCTATGCTTGCCCCCGGTTGGATTTCCATGATCTTCCCACCGCTTGTACTTCCTCCCCTCCCCATGCCTCCTGCCCTCCAGGCTTTCTTTGGTTCAGTCCTGATGAAACGCACTGGCAGCTCACTCAGCTCCTTCCCTTCCTCCCAGAAATCCGAGCGGTATAGCACTTGCTCCTGCCAGGTGCATATCGTAGTCCCTATCTTGTAGAGCAACTCCATTCCCAGTAAAATGTCGTAGTCATCTGATTCCGTCAGTCCGCACTGCACCCTTATCGTTGTCTCTCCCTCCCCCCCCGGCTGCAGCGTGATCTCAATCAGATCCTTAGTGCATGGCATCCACTTGGGAGCCCCTCCCTCTGCGGTCATGATCAGTATTCCCCGTCTCACTGTTTCCCAACCTCCTTGCGCCTTTAGCTGCTCGGTCAGCTTTCTTCCCAGCAACACACTCTGCGCGCCTGTATCCACCACGGCATTTTCTACCAGAATCCCTCGTACCGCTACAGACTTCGGTTCCACCACCAGAGCCGTGGGCTGGCAGACCAGTCGCTCTTCAGGGTGTCGCCGAGCTGCCTTCGGCTTGTTAGTCCCCTCAGGTACTTTTGAAGTCCTTCTCCTTGGCTGCTTCGGCTCCGCTCTACCGTCCTTCCCTCCACTTCTCAACCCCAAACTTTCTCGGTCCCTGGGCGACATGGCCATTGTCCCATACTCAGCTTCTTCCTCCCCGTAATCTTCCTCTTCCTCGTCTTCCCAAGCTAGTAGCGCTTTCTCCGGGTCTTCGCTGATCTCCACCTTACCCATATGCGCCTTCAGCTTTGTTAACTCCCTCTCCAACTGCTGTTCTCTAGCGGATTTTTCTCCCCCCTTCTCCTTCTTGCTGTAGCACCTTTCTTCCGTGTGTCCCCGTTTCCTACAGAAGGTGCAGATCGGCGCCTTAGGACAATTCCGCCTGAAATGCCCTTTCTCTTTGCAGATGTCGCATATGATGTCGATGGCGCAATCCTTTCGCAGATGCCCGTGTTCCCCGCACTTGTGACACCGTCGCTTGTCTTCAAATGGTTTTTCTCTCCGTTCTTCTTCCATCCGCTTTCCTTCCACCGCAGCCCACGCCGGCCTCCTGCGTTCGCCTGATCTTCCTGAGCTCGCTCCGCATAACCCATCGAAGAACCTTCTTCCCTCCTCTACCTCTTTCGCCGCCTGATACACTTGTCGCAATTTCGCCTTCATCCCCAGCGCGTACAGTCGGCTCCGCATATCTTGCATCAGGTCTTCATCCAATCCACCCACAAACTTCGACACCAAGGTCCGTTCTTCCAGGCAGCCCATGTCTTCGGCCAGCTCCATCAGTCGATTATAGTACGCTAGCAGAGATTCTCCTCTCGCTCTCTTAAAATCTTGGAACTCTGTCATCCGATCTGCTGAATGTCCCGGGAATTGTTCTCGCAGGCTTTCCAGGAATCGGTCGGTGATTTCCGCCGGCGCGAAGTCTCCCCGCTTACTCTGCAGCAACAACCCTTGTCTCTCCACCCGGTAATGCGTCAACGCTTCCCCCTTGAGCGTTCTCCCCAATCCTCTGAAGAATTCAATGGGATCGTGCCCCTCCCTCTCCCAACAGTATCGGATGTCATCCACCATCATAAGATAATTCTTCAGCGTGGGCTCCTCTCCAGGCGCTCCTGAGAAGCGATCCGGCACTTCAATCTTAGGTGGAGCTGCACTTATCGTTCTGCCCGTTCCCCAGCTCGCCGTTCCCCAGCTCGCCGTTCCCCTCTCGCCAATCCCCACATGCTGATCTCCTCTACCGGCCTCCCTGGATTCGCATCTTCCAGCAGGGGATCCGTGAAACGCCTCTCCTTCTCGCTGGCTCCGCTGATCTTCCTGATGGTCTCCCACTCTCGGTTCTGGGGTTCCACGCTGAGATCCTCCAACCCTGGCTGATTGGGATCCCATCCCTGGCGCTGGCGAATTGCAGTTAGAGCCCAGTGGAGGCTCTTCCCGTCGGTCGCCCTCCTTTCCTGGATCCGCGCTGCTATTAGCCCTAGCGTTCGCTGTTCCTTCTTCTGCTCGGAACCCAGGCGTCTTAGTCAGCAGGGCTTGCCCCTCCATCCTCCGCGCAGGAAATCTGTGACCTGAACGCAGCTGATGAGTATGTAATTCTTGATCAAGGCCACTCATCCCTTACGGTGCATCACCGCAGGTCCTCCAGGCGTTCGTACCTGTTCTGCTGAAATTTCAGCACTGCAACTTTTTGCTTGTATGAACAAGTCTAAACCCCCTCGCAAGGGCTCCGTCAGATTGCTCCTGCTTCTCCCTACTGCTAGCTTCCTTTGGCTTAGGAAAACAAGATTGCAGTAAAAAGAGAAACATACAAGCAAAAAGCGAGAGACCTGAGTGCTCCCCCCGACTACATTCCCTCCTCCTGCCTAGGTTCCTCCTGCAGCACGCTAACTCTAGTGCCAGACGCGAGTCAGCTGCACTGCTCGTGATGGCTCCTAGGTGCTAGCTAGCTCCCACTGGGCCCACTAGGCATGCACTGCAATCCAGCTGGAATCGAGTTCCTAGCCTGGAATCGCATTCCCAGCTGGAATTGCATTCCCAACCTGGAATCGAATTCCCAGCTGGAATCGAATTCCCTCTTCTGTAAAAACCTCCTCGAATTTCCCTGCACTCGGCTCTGTAAAGCGTATGTACAGTACATACCACGCACACAAAAGAAATTAGAGTACAAGTCCAGAAATGCACAATTACCTGGCTGCTGTGTAATTCACGCCTTAGCCTGCTGGCTAGGCGTTAATAACGCGACACGCCTTCCTCTCACTCAGAGGAGTGGCACCTTCCTCTCACTCAGAGGAGAGACGCCTTCCTCTCACTCAGAGGAGAGGCGCCTTCCTCTCACTCAGAGGAGAGGCGCCTGCCTCTCACTCAGAGGAGAGGCGCCTGCCTCTCACTCAGAGGAGAGGCGCCTGCCTCTCACTCAGAGGAGAGGCGCCTGCCTCTCACTCAGAGGAGAGGCGCCCGCCTCTCACTCAGAGGAGAGGCGCCTTCCTCTCACTCAGAGGAGAGGCGCCTTCCTCTCACTCAGAGGAGAGGCGCCTTCCTCTCACTCAGGCTTTCCTCTCACTCAGAGGAGAGGCGCCTGCCTCTCACTCAGAGGAGAGGCGCCTGCCTCTCACTCAGAGGAGAGGCGCCTTCCTCTCACTCAGAGGAGAGGCGCCTGCCTCTCACTCAGAGGAGAGGCGCCTGCCTCTCACTCAGAGGAGAGGCGCCTGCCTCTCACTCAGAGGAGAGGCGCCTGCCTCTCACTCAGAGGAGAGGCGCCCGCCTCTCACTCAGAGGAGAGGCGCCTTCCTCTCACTCAGAGGAGAGGCGCCTTCCTCTCACTCAGAGGAGAGGCGCCTTCCTCTCACTCAGAGGAGAGGCGCCTTCCTCTCACTCAGGCTTTCCTCTCACTCAGAGGAGAGGCGCCTGCCTCTCACTCAGAGGAGAGGCGCCTGCCTCTCACTCAGAGGAGAGGCGCCTTCCTCTCACTCAGAGGAGAGGCGCCTTCCTCTCACTCAGAGGAGAGGCGCCTGCCTCTCACTCAGAGGAGAGGCGCCTGCCTCTCACTCAGAGGAGAGGCGCCTTCCTCTCACTCAGAGGAGAGGCGCCTGCCTCTCAATCACAGGAGAGGCGCCTTCCTCTCACTCAGAGGAGAGGCGCCTTCCTCTCACTCAGAGGAGAGGCGCCTTCCTCTCACTCAGAGGAGAGGCGCCTGCCTCTCACTCAGAGGAGAGGCGCCTTCCTCTCACTCAGAGGAGAGGCGCCTGCCTCTCACTCAGAGGAAAGGCGCCTGCCTCTCACTCAGAGGAGAGGCGCCTTCCTCTCATTCAGAGGAGAGGCGCATGCCTCTCAGTCAGAGGAGAGGCGCCTTCCTCTCACTCAGAGGAGAGGCGCCTTCCTCTCACTCACAGGAGAGGCGCCTTCCTCTCACTCAGAGGAGAGGCGCCTTCCTCTCACTCAGAGGAGAGGCGCCTTCCTCTCACTCAGAGGAGAGGCGCCTGCCTCTCACTCACAGGAGAGGCGCCTTCCTCTCACGCAGAGGAGAGGCGCCTTCCTCTCACGCAGAGGAGAGGCGCCTTCCTCTCACTCAGAGGAGAGGCGCCTTCCTCTCACTCAGAGGAGAGGCGCCTGCCTCTCACTCAGAGGAGAGGCGCATGCCTCTCAGTCAGAGGAGAGGCGCCTTCCTCTCACTCAGAGGAGAGGCGCCTTCCTCTCACTCAGAGGAGAGGCGCCTTCCTCTCACTCAGAGGAAGGGCGCCTTCCTCTCACTCAGAGGAGAGGCGCCTTCCTCTCACTCAGAGGAGAGGCGCCTGCCTCTCACTCAGAGGAGAGGTGCCTTCCTCTAACTCAGAGGAGAGGCGCCTTCCTCTCAATCAGAGGAGAGGCGCCTGCCTCTCACTCAGAGGAGAAGCGCCTTCCTCTCACTCAGAGGAGAGGCGCCTTCCTCTCACTCAGAGGAGAGGCGCCTTCCTCTCACTCAGAGGAGAGGCGCCTGCCTCTCACTCAGAGGAGAGGCGCCTGCCTCTCACTCAGAGGAGAGGCGCCTGCCTCTCACTCAGAGGAGAGGCGCCTGCCTCTCACACAGAGGAGAGGCGCCTTCCTCTCACTCACAGGAGAGGCGCCTTCCTCACACTCAGAGGAGAGGCGCCTTCCTCTCACTCACAGGAGAGGCGCCTTCCTCTCACTCAGAGGAGAGGCGCCTTCCTCTCACTCAGAGGAGAGGCGCCTTCCTCTCACTCAGAGGAGAGGCGCCTGCCTCTCACTCACAGGAGAGGCGCCTTCCTCTCACGCAGAGGAGAGGCGCCTTCCTCTCACGCAGAGGAGAGGCGCCTTCCTCTCACTCAGAGGAGAGGCGCCTTCCTCTCACTCAGAGGAGAGGCGCCTGCCTCTCACTCAGAGGAGAGGCGCATGCCTCTCAGTCAGAGGAGAGGCGCCTTCCTCTCACTCAGAGGAGAGGCGCCTTCCTCTCACTCAGAGGAGAGGCGCCTTCCTCTCACTCAGAGGAAGGGCGCCTTCCTCTCACTCAGAGGAGAGGCGCCTTCCTCTCACTCAGAGGAGAGGCGCCTTCCTCTCACTCAGAGGAGAGGCGCCTTCCTCTCACTCAGGCTTTCCTCTCACTCAGAGGAGAGGCGCCTGCCTCTCACTCAGAGGAGAGGCGCCTGCCTCTCACTCAGAGGAGAGGCGCCTTCCTCTCACTCAGAGGAGAGGCGCCTGCCTCTCACTCAGAGGAGAGGCGCCTGCCTCTCACTCAGAGGAGAGGCGCCTGCCTCTCACTCAGAGGAGAGGCGCCTGCCTCTCACTCAGAGGAGAGGCGCCCGCCTCTCACTCAGAGGAGAGGCGCCTTCCTCTCACTCAGAGGAGAGGCGCCTTCCTCTCACTCAGAGGAGAGGCGCCTTCCTCTCACTCAGAGGAGAGGCGCCTTCCTCTCACTCAGGCTTTCCTCTCACTCAGAGGAGAGGCGCCTGCCTCTCACTCAGAGGAGAGGCGCCTGCCTCTCACTCAGAGGAGAGGCGCCTGCCTCTCACTCAGAGGAGAGGCGCCTTCCTCTCACTCAGAGGAGAGGCGCCTTCCTCTCACTCAGGCTTTCCTCTCACTCAGAGGAGAGGCGCCTGCCTCTCACTCAGAGGAGAGGCGCCTGCCTCTCACTCAGAGGAGAGGCGCCTGCCTCTCACTCAGAGGAGAGGCGCCTTCCTCTCACTCAGAGGAGAGGCGCCTTCCTCTCACTCAGAGGAGAGGCGCCTGCCTCTCACTCAGAGGAGAGGCGCCTGCCTCTCACTCAGAGGAGAGGCGCCTTCCTCTCACTCAGAGGAGAGGCGCCTGCCTCTCAATCACAGGAGAGGCGCCTTCCTCTCACTCAGAGGAGAGGCGCCTTCCTCTCACTCAGAGGAGAGGCGCCTTCCTCTCACTCAGAGGAGAGGCGCCTGCCTCTCACTCAGAGGAAAGGCGCCTGCCTCTCACTCAGAGGAGAGGCGCCTTCCTCTCATTCAGAGGAGAGGCGCATGCCTCTCAGTCAGAGGAGAGGCGCCTTCCTCTCACTCAGAGGAGAGGCGCCTTCCTCTCACTCACAGGAGAGGCGCCTTCCTCTCACTCAGAGGAGAGGCGCCTTCCTCTCACTCAGAGGAGAGGCGCCTTCCTCTCACTCAGAGGAGAGGCGCCTGCCTCTCACTCACAGGAGAGGCGCCTTCCTCTCACGCAGAGGAGAGGCGCCTTCCTCTCACGCAGAGGAGAGGCGCCTTCCTCTCACTCAGAGGAGAGGCGCCTTCCTCTCACTCAGAGGAGAGGCGCCTGCCTCTCACTCAGAGGAGAGGCGCATGCCTCTCAGTCAGAGGAGAGGCGCCTTCCTCTCACTCAGAGGAGAGGCGCCTTCCTCTCACTCAGAGGAGAGGCGCCTGCCTCTCACTCAGAGGAGAGGTGCCTTCCTCTAACTCAGAGGAGAGGCGCCTTCCTCTCAATCAGAGGAGAGGCGCCTGCCTCTCACTCAGAGGAGAAGCGCCTTCCTCTCACTCAGAGGAGAGGCGCCTTCCTCTCACTCAGAGGAGAGGCGCCTTCCTCTCACTCAGAGGAGAGGCGCCTGCCTCTCACTCAGAGGAGAGGCGCCTGCCTCTCACTCAGAGGAGAGGCGCCTGCCTCTCACTCAGAGGAGAGGCGCCTGCCTCTCACACAGAGGAGAGGCGCCTTCCTCTCACTCACAAGAGAGGCGCCTTCCTCACACTCAGAGGAGAGGCGCCTGCCTCTCACTCAGAGGAGAGGCGCCTTCCTCTCACTCAGAGGAGAGGCGCCTTCCTCTCACTCAGAGGAGAGGCGCCTTCCTCTCACTCAGAGGAGAGGCGCCTGCCTCTCACTCAGAGGAGAGGCGCCTTCCTCTCACTCAGAGGAGAGGCGCCTGCCTCTCACTCAGAGGAGAGGTGCCTTCCTCTAACTCAGAGGAGAGGCGCCTTCCTCTCACTCAGAGGAGAGGCGCCTTCCTCTCACTCAGAGGAGAGGCGCCTGCCTCTCACTCAGAGGAGAGGTGCCTTCCTCTCACTCAAGAGGAGAGGCGCCTTCCTCTCACTCAGAGGAGAGGTGCCTTCCTCTAACTCAGAGGAGAGGCGCCTTCCTCTCACTCAGAGGAGAGGCGCCTGCCTCTCACTCAGAGGAGAAGCGCCTTCCTCTCACTCAGAGGAGAGGCGTCTTCCTCTCACTCAGAGGAGAGGCGCCTTCCTCTCACTCAGAGGAGAGGCGCCTTCCTCTCACTCAGAGGAGTGGCGCCTTCCTCTCACTCAGAGGAGAGACGCCTTCCTCTCACTCAGAGGAGAGGCGCCTTCCTCTCACTCAGAGGAGAGGCGCCTGCCTCTCACTCAGAGGGGAGGCGCCTGCCTCTCACTCAGAGGAGAGGCGCCTGCCTCTCACTCAGAGGAGAGGCGCCCGCCTCTCACTCAGAGGAGAGGCGCCTTCCTCTCACTCAGAGGAGAGGCGCCTTCCTCTCACTCAGAGGAGAGGCGCCTTCCTCTCACTCAGGCTTTCCTCTCACTCAGAGGAGAGGCGCCTGCCTCTCACTCAGAGGAGAGGCGCCTGCCTCTCACTCAGAGGAGAGGCGCCTTCCTCTCACTCAGAGGAGAGGCGCCTGCCTCTCACTCAGAGGGGAGGCGCCTGCCTCTCACTCAGAGGAGAGGCGCCTGCCTCTCACTCAGAGGAGAGGCGCCTGCCTCTCACTCAGAGGAGAGGCGCCTGCCTCTCACTCAGAGGGGAGGCGCCTGCCTCTCACTCAGAGGAGAGGCGCCTGCCTCTCACTCAGAGGAGAGGCGCCTGCCTCTCAATCACAGGAGAGGCGCCTGCCTCTCAATCACAGGAGAGGCGCCTTCCTCTCACTCAGAGGAGAGGCGCCTTCCTCTCACTCAGAGGAGAGGCGCCTTCCTCTCACTCAGAGGAGAGGCGCCTGCCTCTCACTCAGAGGAGAGGCGCCTTCCTCTCACTCAGAGGAGAGGCGCCTGCCTCTCACTCAGAGGAAAGGCGCCTGCCTCACTCAGAGGAGAGGCGCCTTCCTCTCATTCAGAGGAGAGGCGCATGCCTCTCAGTCAGAGGAGAGGCGCCTTCCTCTCACTCAGAGGAGAGGCGCCTTCCTCTCACTCACAGGAGAGGCGCCTTCCTCTCACTCAGAGGAGAGGCGCCTTCCTCTCACTCAGAGGAGAGGCGCCTGCCTCTCACTCACAGGAGAGGCGCCTTCCTCTCACGCAGAGGAGAGGCGCCTTCCTCTCACGCAGAGGAGAGGTGCCTTCCTTTCACTCAGAGGAGAGGCGCCTTCCTCTCACTCAGAGGAGAGGCGCCTGACTCTCACTCAGAGGAGAGGCGCATGCCTCTCAGTCAGAGGAGAGGCGCCTTCCTCTCACTCAGAGGAGAGGCGCCTTCCTCTCACTCAGAGGAGAGGCGCCTTCCTCTCACTCAGAGGAAGGGCGCCTTCCTCTCACTCAGAGGAGAGGCGCCTTCCTCTCACTCAGAGGAGAGGCGCCTGCCTCTCACCCAGAGGAGAGGTGCCTTCCTCTAACTCAGAGGAGAGGCGCCTTCCTCTCAATCAGAGGAGAGGCGCCTGCCTCTAACTCAGAGGAGAAGCGCCTTCCTCTCACTCAGAGGAGAGGCGCCTTCCTCTCACTCAGAGGAGAGGCGCCTGCCTCTCACTCAGAGGAGAGGCGCCTGCCTCTCAATCACAGGAGAGGCGCCTGCCTCTCAATCACAGGAGAGGCGCCTTCCTCTCACTCAGAGGAGAGGCGCCTTCCTCTCACTCAGAGGAGAGGCGCCTTCCTCTCACTCAGAGGAGAGGCGCCTGCCTCTCACTCAGAGGACAGGCGCCTTCCTCTCACTCAGAGGAGAGGCGCCTGCCTCTCACTCAGAGGAAAGGCGCCTGCCTCTCACTCAGAGGAGAGGCGCCTTCCTCTCATTCAGAGGAGAGGCGCATGCCTCTCAGTCAGAGGAGAGGCGCCTTCCTCTCACTCAGAGGAGAGGCGCCTTCCTCTCACTCACAGGAGAGGCGCCTTCCTCTCACTCAGAGGAGAGGCGCCTTCCTCTCACTCAGAGGAGAGGCGCCTGCCTCTCACTCACAGGAGAGGCGCCTTCCTCTCACGCAGAGGAGAGGCGCCTTCCTCTCACGCAGAGGAGAGGTGCCTTCCTCTCACTCAGAGGAGAGGCGCCTTCCTCTCACTCAGAGGAGAGGCGCCTAACTCTCACTCAGAGGAGAGGCGCATGCCTCTCAGTCAGAGGAGAGGCGCCTTCCTCTCACTCAGAGGAGAGGCGCCTTCCTCTCACTCAGAGGAGAGGCGCCTTCCTCTCACTCAGAGGAAGGGCGCCTTCCTCTCACTCAGAGGAGAGGCGCCTTCCTCTCACTCAGAGGAGAGGCGCCTGCCTCTCACTCAGAGGAGAGGTGCCTTCCTCTAACTCAGAGGAGAGGCGCCTTCCTCTCAATCAGAGGAGAGGCGCCTGCCTCTCACTCAGAGGAGAAGCGCCTTCCTCTCACTCAGAGGAGAGGCGCCTTCCTCTCACTCAGAGGAGAGGCGCCTTCCTCTCACTCAGAGGAGAGGCGCCTGCCTCTCACTCAGAGGAGAGGCGCCTGCCTCTCACTCAGAGGAGAGGCGCCTGCCTCTCACTCAGAGGAGAGGCGCCTTCCTCTCACTCAGAGGAGAGGCGCCTGCCTCTCACTCAGAGGAGAGGCGCCTTCCTCTCACTCAGAGGAGAGGCGCCTTCCTCTCACTCAGAGGAGAGGCGCGTTCCTCTCACTCAGAGGAGAGGCGCCTGCCTCTCACTCAGAGGAGGAGAGGCGCCTGCCTCTCACTCAGAGGAGAGGCGCCTTCCTCTCACTCAGAGGAGAGGCGCCTGCCTCTCACTCAGAGGAGAGGTGCCTTCCTCTAACTCAGAGGAGAGGCGCCTTCCTCTCACTCAGAGGAGAGGCGCCTTCCTCTCACTCAGAGGAGAGGCGCCTGCCTCTCACTCAGAGGAGAGGTGCCTTCCTCTCACTCAAGAGGAGAGGCGCATTCCTCTCAATCAGAGGAGAGGCGACTGCCTCTCACTCAGAGGAGAAGCGCCTTCCTCTCAGTCAGAGGAGAGGCGCCTGCCTCTCACTCAGAGGAGAGGCAACCTCCTCTCACTCAGAGGAGAGGCGCCTTCCTCTCACTCAGAGGAGAGGCGCCTTCCTCTCACTCAGAGGAGAGGCGCCTTCCTCTCACTCAGAGGAGAGGCGCCTTCCTCTCACTCAGAGGAGAGGCTCCTTCCTCTCACTCAGAGGAGAGGCGCCTTCCTCTCACTCAGAGGAGAGGCGCATACCTATCACTCAGAGGAGAGGCGCCTTCCTCTCACTCAGAGGAGAGGCGCCTTCCTCTCACTCAGAGGAGAGGCGCCTTCCTCTCACTCAGAGGAGAGGCGCCTTCCTCTCACTCAGAGGAGAGGCGCCTTCCTCTCACTCAGAGGAGAGGCGCCTTCCTCTCACTCAGAGGAGAGGCGCCTTCCTCTCACTCAGAGGAGAGGCGACCTCCTCTCACTCAGAGGAGAGGCGCCTTCCTCTCACTGAGAGGAGAGGTGCCTTCCTCTAACTCAGAGGAGAGGCGCCTTCCTCTCACTCAGAGGAGAGGCGCCTGCCTCTCACTCAGAGGAGAAGCGCCTTCCTCTCACTCAGAGGAGAGGCGCCTTCCTCTCACTCAGAGGAGAGGCGCCTTCCTCTCACTCAGAGGAGAGGCGCCTTCCTCTCACTCAGAGGAGTAGCGCCTTCCTCTCACTCAGAGGAGAGACGCCTTCCTCTCACTCAGAGGAGAGGCGCCTTCCTCTCACTCAGAGGAGAGGCGCCTGCCTCTCACTCAGAGGAGAGGCGCCTGCCTCTCACTCAGAGGAGAGGCGCCTGCCTCTCACTCAGAGGAGAGGCGCCTGCCTCTCACTCAGAGGAGAGGCGCCCGCCTCTCACTCAGAGGAGAGGCGCCTTCCTCTCACTCAGAGGAGACGCGCCTTCCTCTCACTCAGAGGAGAGGCGCCTTCCTCTCACTCAGGCTTTCCTCTCACTCAGAGGAGAGGCGCCTGCCTCTCACTCAGAGGAGAGGCGCCTGCCTCTCACTCAGAGGAGAGGCGCCTTCCTCTCACTCAGAGGAGAGGCGCCTTCCTCTCACTCAGAGGAGAGGCGCCTGCCTCTCACTCAGAGGAAAGGCGCCTGCCTCTCACTCAGAGGAGAGGCGCCTTCCTCTCATTCAGAGGAGAGGCGCATGCCTCTCAGTCAGAGGAGAGGCGCCTTCCTCTCACTCAGAGGAGAGGCGCCTTCCTCTCACTCACAGGAGAGGCGCCTTCCTCTCACTCAGAGGAGAGGCGCCTTCCTCTCACTCAGAGGAGAGGCGCCTTCCTCTCACTCAGAGGAGAGGCGCCTGCCTCTCACTCACAGGAGAGGCGCCTTCCTCTCACTCAGAGGAGAGGCGCCTTCCTCTCACTCAGAGGAGAGGCGCCTTCCTCTCACTCAGAGGAGAGGCGCCTTCCTCTCTCTCAGAGGAGAAGCGCCTTCCTCTCACTCAGAGGAGAGGCGCCTTCCTCTCACTCAGAGGAGAGGCGCCTGCCTCTCACTCAGAGGAGAGGTGCCTTCCTCTAACTAAGAGGAGAGGCGCCTTCCTCTCACTCAGAGGAGAGGCGCCTGCCTCTCACTCAGAGGAGAGGTGCCTTCCTCTAACTAAGAGGAGAGGCGCCTTCCTCTCACTCAGAGGAGAGGCGCCTACCTCTCACTCAGAGGAGAGGCGCCCGCCTCTCACTCAGAGGAGAGGCGCCTTCCTCTCACTCAGAGGAGACGCGCCTTCCTCTCACTCAGAGGAGAGGCGCCTTCCTCTCACTCAGGCTTTCCTCTCACTCAGAGGAGAGGCGCCTGCCTCTCACTCAGAGGAGAGGCGCCTGCCTCTCACTCAGAGGAGAGGCGCCTTCCTCTCACTCAGAGGAGAGGCGCCTTCCTCTCACTCAGAGGAGAGGCGCCTGCCTCTCACTCAGAGGAAAGGCGCCTGCCTCTCACTCAGAGGAGAGGCGCCTTCCTCTCATTCAGAGGAGAGGCGCATGCCTCTCAGTCAGAGGAGAGGCGCCTTCCTCTCACTCAGAGGAGAGGCGCCTTCCTCTCACTCACAGGAGAGGCGCCTTCCTCTCACTCAGAGGAGAGGCGCCTTCCTCTCACTCAGAGGAGAGGCGCCTTCCTCTCACTCAGAGGAGAGGCGCCTGCCTCTCACTCACAGGAGAGGCGCCTTCCTCTCACTCAGAGGAGAGGCGCCTTCCTCTCACTCAGAGGAGAGGCGCCTTCCTCTCACTCAGAGGAGAGGCGCCTTCCTCTCTCTCAGAGGAGAAGCGCCTTCCTCTCACTCAGAGGAGAGGCGCCTTCCTCTCACTCAGAGGAGAGGCGCCTGCCTCTCACTCAGAGGAGAGGTGCCTTCCTCTAACTAAGAGGAGAGGCGCCTTCCTCTCACTCAGAGGAGAGGCGCCTACCTCTCACTCAGAGGAGAGGCACCTTCCTCTCACTCAGAGGAGAAGCGCCATCCTCTCACTCAGAGGAGAGGCGCCTTCCTCTCACTCAGAGGAGAGGCGCCTTCCTCTCACTCAGAGGAGAGGCGCCTTCGTCTCACTCAGAGAGGCGCCTGCCTCTCACTCAGAGGAGAGGCGCCTTCCTCTCACTCGGAGGAGAGGCGCCTTCCTCTCACTCAGAGGAGAGGCGCCTTCCTCTCACTCAGAGGAGAGGCGCCTTCCTCTCACTCAAGAGGAGAGGCGCCTGCCTCTCACTCAGAGGAGAGGCGACCTTAGTGGGAATATACGCTTATAGCGTATATACGCGTATCGTATATACGCTAACGTATATACGCTAAACGCTTAAGGGTCGATTTGGTAATACGCTTTTTCGGGCAGGTAAAATACTATCCCGGGCAGGGTGAAAAAAACGTCGTGCTCAAGATTAAGAAGGTGATCCCTATTCTCATTTAGACTTTCGTAGCATTTCCCTAAGTCTGAACGGCGATTGGGGTGGGATGTGGAGTAGACACAAAAAGGAGAAGTAGGTAGGAATCGGAAGGAGCTCTGCTGTTAGAAAGCGGGAATGCCAACTAGAAATGACGACTGGAATTTTGCTGGCTGGTAAGTAGCGTGATTGGGGTTTGGTGGGGGACGTTTTTGACAGGTTGGAATTCGTAGATAATATGGGTTCCAATGCGGTACCAATCTAATGTTCAAAATTGAACTGCCTGCAACTTCGAAGGCCCACTCCCGCTTCCCTAGACCGTCAAATTGCATTTCGACTTAGGCGAAATGCTCAGCAGAAGATTCCGCATCTTTCTGTATACAAGCGATTTTTTTCCCTGGGCAGCCCGAAAATTTTTCTGATAGCGTATAGCGTATTAGCTAGCGTATTGCGTTTTGCGTACACACGCTAGCGTGTATACGCTATACGCTTTAGGGTTTGAGCGTATATTCCCACTAAGGAGGCGACCTCCTCTCACTCAGAGGAGAGGCGCCTTCCTCTCATTCAGAGGAGAGGTGCCTTCCTCTAACTCAGAGGAGAGGCGCCTTCCTCTCACTCAGAGGAGAGGCGCCTGCCTCTCACTCAGAGGAGAAGCGCCTTCCTCTCACTCAGAGGAGAGGCGCCTTCCTCTCACTCAGAGGAGAGGCGCCTTCCTCTCACTCAGAGGAGAGGCGCCTTCCTCTCACTCAGAGGAGTGGCGCCTTCCTCTCACTCAGAGGAGAGACGCCTTCCTCTCACTCAGAGGAGAGGCGCCTGCCTCTCACTCAGAGGAGAGGCGCCTGCCTCTCACTCAGAGGAGAGGCGCCTGCCTCTCACTCAGAGGAGAGGCGCCTGCCTCTCACTCAGAGGAGAGGCCTCTAACTCAGAGGAGAGGTGCCTTCCTCTAACTCAGAGGAGAGGCGCCTTCCTCTCACTCAGAGGAGAAGCGCCTTCCTCTCACTCAGAGGAGAGGCGCCTTCCTCTCACTCAGAGGAGAGGCGCCTTCCTCTCACTCAGAGGAGAGGCGCCTTCCTGTCACTCAGAGGAGAGGCGCCTGCCTCTCACTCAGAGGAGAGGCGCCTGCCTCTCACTCAGAGGAGAGGCGCCTTCCTCTCACTCAGAGGAGAGGCGCCTGCCTCTCACTCAGAGGAGAGGCGCCTTCCTCTCACTCAGAGGAGAGGCGCCTTCCTCTCACTCAGAGGAGAAGCGCCTTCCTCTCACTCAGAGGAGAGGCGCCTTCCTCTCACTCAGAGGAGGGGCGCCTGCCTCTCACTCAGAGGAGAGGCGCCTGCCTCTCACTCAGAGGAGAGGCGCCTTCCTCTCACTCAGAGGAGAGGCGCCTTCCTCTCACTCAGAGGAGAAGCGCCTGCCTCTCACTCAGAGGAGAGGCGCCTTCCTCTCACTCAGAGGAGAGGCGCCTTCCTCTCACTCACAGGAGAGGCGCCTTCCTCTCACTCAGAGGAGAGGCGCCTTCCTCTCACTCACAGGAGAGGCGCCTTCCTCTCACTCACAGGAGAGGCGCCTTCCTCTCACTCAGAGGAGAGGCGCCTTCCTCTCACTCAGAGGAGAGGCGCCTTCCTCTCACTCAGAGGAGAGGCGCCTTCCTCTCACTCAGAGGAGAGGCGCCTTCCTCTCACTCAGAGGAGAGGCGCCTTCCTCTTAGAGGAGGGTCGCCTCTAAGAGGGGTGGAGGGGTGGATGGGTGGAGGGGTGGAGGGATGGAGGGGTGGGTGGGTTGATGGGTGGAGGTGTGGAGGGGTGGAGGTGTGGATGGGTGGAGGGGTGGTGGTGTGGATGGGTGGAGGGGTGGAGGGGTGGATGGGTGGATGGGTGGATGGGTGGAGGTATGGAGGGTGGAGGGTTTGAGGGGTGGATGAGTGGAGGGATGGAGGGTGGAGGGCTTGAGGGGTGGATGATGTTGTAAACGTACATTATATACAACATTCATAGGCTAGAATAGGTGTAGCCCCTTATGTTCTTGGGGGGTTGTGTGTACACTCCAACCACACTTTGTGATTGGTCAAGATTGGATTTGGTCTTGGTCCTTGGTTGGCACTTGCCAACTTTTGGTCCTAACACCAACCAATCACATCCTATCTACATTGTGTGGTTTCCTACTCCACAAGGCACCTCACCCATTGGCCAACTTAGTGGCCAATAGGGTTAGCTCCTCCTCCACTCCTCTCTTCCTTGCATGCTTGTACTATAGAGCCTCCTTGGCTCATTACTCAATGATTCTTGAATTCTATCATGGTATCAGAGCCAAATGGCTCACGCCACCTTCCCTCGATCCTTAGACTGCAATTTACTCTCCGCTCCTTTACCCTAGCGGACTATGGCCTACATCGGTCCACCCGCACCTCAGATCTAGCCTTCCGCGGCCTAGATCTCCTCCTCCGCGGCCTCAATCCTCCCTCCCGCGGCCTCAATCCTCCCTCCCGCGGCCTCAATCCTCCCTCCCGCGGCCTCAATCCTCCCTCCCGCGGCCTCAATCCTCCCTCCCGCGGCCTCAATCCTCCCTCCCGCGGCCTCAATCCTCCCTCCCGCGGCCTCAATCCTCCCTCCCGCGGCCTCAATTCTCCCTCTCACGGTCTCAAACCGTCCTTACGCAGCCTCAAACCGCTCCCCCGTGGCAGCAACCCTCCCCCCCGTCGCCACGCCTCAACCTGCCCGCCGACGCGACCGACCTGCGCGCCGGCGCGGACGACCAGCGCGGCGACGCGGACGACCTGCGCGGCGACGCGGCCGACCAGCGCGCCGACGCGGACGACCTGCGCGGCGACGCGGCCGACCAGCGCGCCGACGCGGACGACCTGCGCGCCGCCGCGGACGACCTGCGTGCCGCCGCGGACGGTCAGCGCGCTGTCGCCAGCGACCTGCGCGCCGACGCGGCCGGCCAGCGCGTGACCGCCGACGACCCACGCGCTGACGCGGACGGCCAGCGCGCGACCGCCGACGAGCCGCGCGCTGACGCGGACGGCTAGCGCGCGGCCACGAACGAACCGCGCGTCGACGCGGACGGCCAGCGCGCGGCCGCCGACGACCCTGCGCCGACGCGGACGGCTGGCGCGGAGCCGCGGCTGACCTGCGCGCCGTCGCGTTCGGCTGCCCGCGACCTCCACGACCCCGCAACCCTAATCCTCCCTCCTCCCCCTATCCTGCCCCACACCCGCGCCCCTCCCCACACTTCCGCACCAGCCTCTCTCCCTCCCCCCCCCCCCTACATCCTCCCCCTACTCCACCCTTAACGGCACCAGCAGCAGCAGCAGCGGCGGCGGCACCAGCAGCGGCGGCACCAGCAGCGGCACCGGCAGCAGTGGCAGCGGCAGCGGCGGCACCAGCAGCGGCACCGGCAGCAGCGGCAGCGGCGGCACCAGCACCGGCATCGACGGCGGCAGCAGCAGCGGCAGCAGCAGCGGCTCCAGTGGCGGCTCCAGCAGCAACACCGGCAGCGGCAGCAGCGGCGGCAGCAGCGGCGGCAGCAGCAGCAGCATCGCCGGCGGCAGCAGCAGCAGCATCGCCAGCGGCAGCAGCAGCAGCATCGGCGGCTGCAGCAGCAGCGGCACCGGTAGCGGCAGCAGCAGCGGCACCAGCACCGGCAGCAGCGGCATCAGCAGCGGCGCCTTCACCCCTCCGCCGTTATGGCGTCGTCGGACTCGTCGGTCGATCTAGCGACCATTGACGCTCTCGAGCTGCTGGGCGACAACTCGGCCGCCAACTGGCACTCCTATGCTCACTCCGTCGAGGTATTGCTCTCCTCGGTCATCGTCAGCTGATATACCCTTCACTCCGTCGTGTTCCAGGAGGAGGGTGGACTCCAGCCCATCGCCCCTTCCGCCCCCACTGGACCTGCTCCCGATGAGCCCGGACCCGAGCCCGAGCCTCCTGGTGATCCCCCCTCCTTCGCGCCGGATGTTCACAACCCACAAAGCGTGGAGTCTGCCATTCGTGCCTATCGCACCTCACTCAACGACCACCTTCGCCGCCAACTGCGCTACGACGATGACAAGCGCATCTACGACAGTGCTGCTGCCCGCCACCGTGAATACCAAGCCCAGTTTGCCACTTACACTACCCGCCTCACCACCTACACCACTGATATCGCTGCGTGGCGCGTTGCTGATCGTCGAGCCCTCGCTATCCTCCTCGCCACCATCCCCTCCTCCCTCAAACGAGAGCTCTCCCCCACCTCCTCCTCCCACCTGTGGCAACTGCTTGTCGACCTCTTTGACCGACAGGACATCGCCACTCTCTATGCACTCATTAAGGAATTCGGATCCATCACCATGGATTCCACCGCCGGCGCAGCTGCCTTTACTCGCCGCGTCCTTGACCTCGCTCGCCGCCTTGCAGCGCTCGGTGTTGTCTACCCTGACACCGTCATCTGCTGCCACCTTCTCGAGGGTCTCACTCCTGCCTTCGATGCCCATAAGCTGGCATACATGCAACTCCTCTCCAAGCATGACACTCCCGCTCAAGTTACGCAATGGATCATCCCCACTGAAGCTGAAATCCTGCGCCACTCCTCCACTGCCGCAGCAGCACAGCAGCGCAGCAGCAAAGGCGGGCGTGGAGGGGGGCGTGGAGGTGGGCGTGGTGGTGGTCGAGGCGGCTCTGGCGGTCGTGGTGGTGCGGGTCATGGTGCAGCAGCGGCCTTCCCACCCTGTCAGTATCTTCCCCTCTATGGCCCCACCCGAGGCCAACGCTGCAACCAGACCACTCATGCGACTGAGACGTGCTTCAAGGCACTCAGTGATGAGTGGTTCGCTCGTGGGAACTCTGGCACCCCTCCTCGCTGGTCCGCCCTCAACCCCCGCCCCACTCCCCTGGATGTCCGCACCTCTCCCCTTTACGCCCCTTCCTCCTCCTCCCAGGCCCACCAGGCCTTTGCTCTCCCCTCTCACCAGCAGCAGCAGCAGCAGCACCAGAGTGTCCAGCAGCACCAGAGTGTCCATCAGCAGGGGCCGCAGCAGTACGGGCAGCAGCTTCATCAGCTCCAGCAGCAGCTCCAGCAGCAGCTTCAACAGCTCCAGCAGCAGCTTGACCTCCAGCCCCAGCTTCCTCTCCTCCCTCCTCCTCCTGTCCCCCAGCAGCAGTCGTTTCCCGGCTGGACCGCCGGGAATGCGGCCTCCGCGGCCCACCTCTCCGGTCCATCCCCTGCACCGTCTACAGGTGGCAGTGTGACCCCCTTTCCCTCCTCTGGCTTTGTTGGTCTGCTTAGTCAGCCTCCTTCTGTCGCATCCCCTATGTATGCCCCTGCTATTAATGAAACTTCAATTCAGTACTCCGCCTCACCCTCCTCCACCCTTGAGTTTGTCTTGGACAGTGGAGCCACTGACAATGTCTTTCGCGATGCCGGCAAACTCCATCCTCTCTCCACTCCCACGTCCCTTCTCGGCGCTGATAGCAGCTTTTCCATCCCCTGTCACAACACGTCCACCCTTCCCTGTCCTCTCTTTCCCTCAGGTACTGTCACAGGTCTTCACATTCCCTCCCTTCGCACCAACCTCCTCTCCCAAAGGTCCCTCCAACAATCCATGATCACAACTGTCACCCCAGGTGGTGCTAACCATTGTGACCTTTACCAAACCTCCACAGGTCGCTTCCTCTCCCGCATTCCCTACTGTCCCCGCTCCCGTCTGTACACCCTTCGGGTTCCTCGCCCCCTCACCTTCCAAGTCGCCTCCCCCCCCCTCCTTCCCCCCCCTCCTCCCCTCCCTCCCACTAACCCACCCGTCCCCCCCTGCCCCCCTGACTCTGACTGCTCCTGTCGCTCCCTCTCCCACCCTGCCATCCTCCTCCATCACAGGCTAGGTCACCCCAACTTCGCCACTCTGCGCTCCTCTGTATCTTCCGGTCTCCTCCACGGTCTCCCCTCCTCCCTCCCTCCCCTCCCAAAGTCCCCTGCCCCCCCTTGCGTCGTCTGTGTTCAGAGCAAGCTCAAGCAGCAGCCGCACCGGAGCTCCCCCTCCGCTGCTGCCCAGCCACTTGATCTTGTTCACGTGGACCTCTGGGGCCCTAACCCCTCCCCCACTCGCCAAGGCCATCGCTACCTTCTCGTGCTCGTCGATGATCACAGTCGGTACTCGTCCGTCTCTCTCCTTCGGACAAAGGCGGACGCCCCGACTGCGATCATTGCCTGGCTCGAACAGGCAAACACCCACTTTGGGCGCCCTGTTCGCCGCCTCCACTCTGATGGTGGTGGTGAGTTCCTTAATAACCAAATCTCCTCCTATTGCCAGTCCCGCGGCATTCTTCAGACTTACACCCTCCCTCACTCCCCACAGCAGAATGGTGTCGCTGAGAGCCGTGTTCGGGAGATCACCAAAACGGCTCGGTGTCTTCTTGTCCACGCCTCATGCCCCCCTTCTCTGTGGGGCTACGCCCTCCTTCATGCCGCCCTCCTTACTAACCTTTACCCTCACCCCCTCCTCCCCTCCACCGCCCCCACTGAGCTATGGACAAAGGACAAACCCGATGCCTCCCCTCTTCGAGTCTGGGGCTCAAAGGCATATGTCCTCATTCACCCGTCTGACCGATCCCGTTCCCTGGGAAAGCTTGCCCCTCGTACCCTTCCTTGCATCTTCCTTGGTCATAACCCCTCTTCCCCCGACTATCTTTTCCTGCACCCCCCTTCCGTTCGATTAATTCGCAGCAGAGATGTCGTCTTTGACGAATCCACCCCGTACTATTCCTCTCCTCCGTCCACTGACCCACTCCCACCTCTGACTCGTCCCCTTGTCTGGTCTGACACCACCCCTCCCCCTCTCCTCCCTCCTCCCCCCATCCTCCCACCCCCTCCCCCTCCGCCCTCCCAGTCCCATGGTGCCCCCCCTCGTCTGGTGACATCTTTGACCCGGACCCCCTGTCTTCCCCTGCCTCCCCCACTCACTCCTCCTCTGGTGCCCCTCCTCCCCCTCCCTCCCAACCCTCACCTCCCTCCCCCACTCCCCGCACCATACTCACCCGGTATCCTCACACCAGGTCACGTGACAGTATCCTTGGTGCACCGCCCCCTGTTACCCTCTCTACCTCTACCCTCCCTCCTCTTTCCCCCCTCCTTCACCACTTCTTCCAGGCTGTCTTGCATCCAGCCCCCTCAACCACCTCTCCAGCAGCAGCAGCAGCAGCTCCAGCAGCAGCCACCGCAGCGGCACCAGCAGCGGCGAGTGCAGCGGCAGCAGCGGCATCCGCACCAGCACCAACAGCGGCACCAGCAGCGGCACCAGCAGCGGCACCTGCGGTCATCCGCGCCTTCCACACCTCCCTCTCTGAGGACTCCCATGAGGAGTTCCTTGACCTCCACCTCTCTGACCCCTCCCTCCTTCCCATCACCTTTGACCTCTCTGGAACACCAGTCTTCGCCTTTTCCTCTGCTCCCTCCACCTTCATCCCAACCACGTATGAGGAGGCCATGGCTTGCCCCGACGCCCCGCTCTGGCTCGCCGCCATCATCAAGGAGCTCGAGGCATTTATTGCCAACTCCTCCTTCGTTGATGTGCCTCGCCCTCCCTCCTCTACGAACGTGGTGAAGGGGAAGTGGGTGTTTCGCGTCAAACAGCTACCAGGAGAGCCGCCCGTCTACAAGGCCCGGTATTGCGCCAAGGGCTTCACGCAGCGGTATGACTTTGACTTCTTCGACACCTTCTCCCCCACCGCCAAACCTGCTACCGTTCGCGCCGTACTCGACCTCGCCGCTCGACTCAACATGGAGATCCACTCGATGGATGTCTCCAACGCCTTCCTGCAAGGCGTGCTACGTGAACTGATCTACATGGAGCGCCCAGCGGGCTTCCACCTCCCCTTCCCCGCTGACTCCGTCTGGCAGCTGCGCCGACCAGTGTATGGGCTCCGCCAGGCACCCAGGGAATGGCATGCCAAGCTTGCTGCCACCCTTGCCGAGCTTGGGTTTCGCACCTCCCGCTCTGACGCCAGCCTCTTCCTCCGCACCTCCCCCTCCCCCTTCTACATCCTCGTCTATGTT